ATTAAATAATACTGCACTTTGTATTTTTATCATTATATATCAATTAAAGATATATCCTCCCCTGAAAAGAATAAAAAAAATCATAAAAAATGATTTTTAAATCTACAAAATTATGGTTAAACATTTTTTAAATACACTAACTGTTACTTCAAAATTAGCAAGTTAATTTCCAAAATGTCATTTTATGATTTTTGGGGTATTTTGCATGGGACAATATTTTAATCAATCCTTATGCTCAGTTTTATAGCAGCCGATAAAATTGACCTCAAATTTATGCAAATATTAGACCGACTATTACCAAACCTTATAGTATCAACTTCTTTCTATCAAAATATTGGAAGCAAGGTACGGCAGGCTTTATGTGTGTCTTCGACAAGATGGAAAAACATTGGTATAATTTGCAATCCCATTCTACTTCATGCTAGCCGGAAGGCGAGCTATTATTATTATTTATATTTTTTACGGGGAATCCCCTAGAAAATGTAACTACAAACTATTTGTGAGGTATGGAGTAATTGCCTGTATTTCTTTTTCTAAAATCCTGAATTGGTAACTGGTCTAATATCGAGTACTGTTACTAGTTCTTAACTTGTAAACACTGTTGGCTATGAATTCCATAGTTAAGCTTGGTTTGCATAGAACCATCCTGACAACTGTCAGCGACTGCTGCCGAAAGGGTGAGCGATTCTATGGAAACGGAGCTTTACATAGGTGATGAAATACAAGCACACCATTAAGTTCAATGTACAAAATAGAATTATATATTGAGTCTATAGGGATTTAAGACAATCTGGTTTCAAAATAAAATTCTGTAATTTACGGACCTAAATCCAAGTACATTATTTTTAAAGTTCTATTTAATTGTCCTAAATTTATCAATAAAAAGTCAAAAGCCTTAATAAACATGCAAATATCAGCCAGCCAATTAGCCACATGGCGTTGTTTTTTATACAAATTATTAGTACAATGCTCCTGTGATATCGAATGATGATGTTGAATGATAATGATGACGAGGTGGTAAGGCGAGACTTTTTTAATACCTTGTTTTGTGAACTTATTTTTTAAAGATCGTCAGCAGGCATAAAAAAAATTAAAATAATATTTGTTTTCTTATTTAGCAAATAGTTTTGCCGAAAACATCCAGACAGAGGAGAAAATAAAATAAAATTTTATTGGTGAATGTAAACAGTGTAATGGGATGGTTAAATGCTTTAAATTTATATCATTAGGAAGAAATATATACATATTTTATCTTTGGTGATTTCAAGGAAGCAGCGGCCATAATAACAATTTGTAAAAAAATAATTTTTCTCTGAAATTTCCATTTTTTCATGGTGGCGGGTAAGCTAATTGGTCAAAAATAAAATGTTATTTTTATTTGAAATCATCATTATTGGCGGGCGGCAGGTTCACTGAAAAAGGTATAATAAAGTCTTGCCGAACTTGATGACATTGATGTCAGATGATAACAATGGTGTCACAAATAAGCAAATATCAAAAGTTGGCCTTGCAAATCCGAATCATGTCTGATGGTGCATGCCCAACTAGGCCTTTGTTGTGTGCTAACTACGCCTAGAGTCAAGAATGCAAGTAGATATGTTCAGCGTATTCTGCAATTTCCACATCAGGCCTGAGCAACCCATAAATTATTCTGTTCTAGATTATTCCTTTTATCATTTAGCAGAGTAATTAAATGTAAAATTTCCTTCAATAAAATCATAATTTAACTGAGGATATTAAAGAAAAGTTTCACTAGAGTTAAAGGATGACACATGCTCAGTGTAAAAGTAGGCAGAGCTTAGCATGAAATTCTGTTGTCTACAGCCCCATGTCCTATTGTTTGAAGTCCCTACTGATGATGACACTGGATAATAATGAAGATAGTGTTGGATGATCATGATATAAGGATGTTGACATTGAATGATGAGCCTGAAGTTGAATAAAAGTAGTGATGAAACTGATACTGAAACTGCTGATGGTTATGAAGCCTACCTTGGTTCATTTGTGTTATTGGCCACTGGTCCATTGTGACGTTGAGTTGGGGGATGACTAGGTGGAGGAGCTGGTGGGTGAGCAGGTGGTGGACGAGCTAAAACAAAAACGGAAACCAAAAGTGTATCAATATTTGAATATAGTTGTGATATTTTATCTAAAACACAAAAGAAAACCAAATCATACTTTAATTCAATCTACATATGAACATAGCATATGAGCTTGTTAATATAAAATATGTAGTAATTCAAAGAGGCAATATTATCTAAATTTTATATAAACATAACACAGTGGAAAGGGTCTCCACCATGAAAAACTTTACATAAAAAAGGGACATGCACAATACAGATATTGAAGATGAGAAAAAAAATGAACATTTGGAAAATAATTAAAGAAAATTAGAAAAAAAGACAACAGATATCTATAAAAAAGAAAAATCACTTTTGAGTATTTTGATCATGTGCTCTACAAAATATCTACACTTATTTTAATTTAAGGGTCTTATATCAATAATATTGTATAATTCCAACTATGGACCAACTGGTTTTTCTATACAGGATGTATGGAGCCAAAAAAAAATATGCAAATACAAAAAATCATAAACAATTCAAAAGAGAAATGAAATAAAATAGTCAGAAAGGAATTCTCGTACCATTTGGAATTTTGAATTCCAAACACAAGAAAACAAATTACATTGCCATAGCTACAAAGTATTTCAAGCTAACTTCCTCTGGGGTACCCAATTACACCTGCAGACCTTTGCAACAGGTTTCATTGATTTACCCTTTAATATTGCAATGGAATTTCAAAATTCATGAATATAATAAAACCACTAAATAAAAAAAAATAAAACAAAAAGATTTTTAAAACATCATACATACCAAAATTAATTAAAAATTGTAAGCTTTTAGAGTTTTGATCTGAAACAGATAAGGCTCCATAAAAGAAATTATTAGTTTATCACCCTATCAAAGAATAAAAACAGATGAGGTAGGGAGGTTTTTTTTTTTACTAACCCTGTCCCCATTTTACCGATTTTTACAAGTAAATCAATGGTTAGGGACACATATATAAATATTAATAAGTCATTAAATGGAATAAAATTTATATTTAAAAAATATGTTTTTGTTGGACATACCAGTAAAACATATTTGCAAGAAATCCTGAGCTTTTCAAGTGAAAAAAGATGGAAAAATGACCGTTTGAAATAGAAATATATGTTGATTGAAAAAAAAAATATAAAAAAAATCAGAATTTCTCCAAAAGTGATGAGGTAGGGGGTGATAATTTTTTTTATGGGCCTAACTAAAAACTATAGGGCTGATATGAGAAGAGGTAGATTTTGGAGAATAGGTCTCCTTTATCAATTAACTGGGCCCCGTGTAGGGCACATGGTAGGGGCCCATGCAGAGCTCTGGGACTACAAGATTTAGATTTCACTCACATCATCTCCATCTCAAATTAATGAATTATTTTTTCCATTAGTACTATGGCGACTTCCAAGTTAAAATTACGGTACCTATCCTTTGTCTGTGGTTTGTGTTTATGCTATAAAATGGAAATAAAATTAATGTTATTTCTTGTGTTTGAATGCAATTGTTAAGTACCACTATAACAAAAAGATGCGCTCTCATGAAAGAATTACAGTTTCTATTTTCGTAATACTCGGCTTTGACTAAAAATCAAAGAGATTTTTCATGGTTCTGAATAAAATATCATGTAGTGAATAATATTACAGATGAACTTGCTTTGCTTTGTGCAATTTATTAGCTTTCAATTTAAAATCTGAAAGACAACATATATTCTCACTGAAAATTAACAGACGCAGAAGTTATGATCAGAAACAGAGACATGTTTACAAAATTAAAAGAAAATGAATAGAAAGCAAATAAACAGATTGGTTGTAATAATATACAAGCGGTAAGAATAGATGCCATAGGCCATATATGGGCATTAGTAGTATGGCTATAAATACTCTACCACACTCTACATAAATAAACCACAGGTTCCTAGAATAATGTGGTCAAGATGAAATGCAATACTACTTGAACAAAAAATAGCAAATCACATGGTAAATATACAATAAAATGATCACCAAAACAAATCTTGTATTTTTACCCATTAAGAATTATATTCTAATTCATTACATATGATCAAATCGATATACTCTAAAACAAATGTTGTATACATGTATTGTTAAATATTGATATTATTGAATATTGAAAATTAACTATCATATTCATCATCATTTTTTTAAAAATTAATATTGACTACTTCAAAACAGTCAACACGACATGGCCAGACATTCATGGCTCTAATTTATTTATAATATATAATTCTATTTCTGATATGCCAGAGGGCTGAAACGTGTGGATATATAGAAACTCATACTTAATTTATAATTTATTCTGTTATGATCAACACCATATGGATAGACAATCAGAGACCTAATATATAATTTATTTTGATATATAAATTCTATTTCTGATATGCCACAAGGCTTTAAGTGAATATGTAGACACACACAGACCTAATTTATAATTTACTCAAGTTACTTTAAAGTCACTTTCATTTGCACATAATTTTCCTATCCCCGATCAAGTACTAATTTGATATAATGCATCTGATTTTTTGCGTCTTGTGTGCAAAAAGCTGGGGTTTTTACATCACGATGAATATTTTGTTGCAAGTCAAGCTCTGAATGCACACAGCAGACAAATCTCGCTTAACATGCGAATTTGTTAGACTACACATGTTTGTGGGACATGTGCGTACTCCAGGCCCTATTCTGATTTGACTGTGGCAACAATATCAAAGGAGGCTTGCTTGGCGGAAAGGTCCATCGTTAGGTCGTAGTGCATGCTATTGGATGCGAATAAATAAATTAGCATTGTATATACAAGGCCAAGTAACAAAAAATCCTTGTTTCTCATCCTGGGTTTTTCAAAAAATTGGTGAGGGAGGCACTTATTATTTGATACTTGTTATTTTTCACCGTTTCGTCAAAATATGCCAAAGAATGTTCTGCGTAGCAAAATGTGTTATAGAGAATTTGTCAATAGTTCTGTCATTGCTTCTCTTGCTGTTATCATGGTCTTTGTGTTGCATTTGTAAACTATAAAATGTGTCAGCAATTGAAATTTTGCATTTTTGATGTAAAAAACCCCCAAATTTTAAAAATAACAAGAAACAAAAATTGATGCGGCCCAAAATATGGTAAGGGAGGGGACGGAAAACAAGGAATTTTTATTATTTAACCCAATATATAATCTATTTTTTAAATATCTGTTACACAACCAGTTAATCATTACACTTATAATACATCCTGTCAGTGAATGTCTACTAATATCTAATGTGAAAGTTAGAAATATAAACTCTATTTATATAAAAAAAATTGACAATTTGAAAAATATTCTAGTAACTCATCGTACATAAAAATATTTGTTGTTTATTTCACAAGGCTATTAGGTGTGAACTCTTTCATATTTAATGTTAAAAAGGTAATGTACCTTTGAAATAGAATTTATATACAGTATTTTATCACAATTCTTGTTTTGTGAGCAGTTAATATAAAAATTATTATTACTATGTAGTAGGACTATGAGGGGCTTTGTGATAAATATTTTCGCTCTTAGGCAATACTGCCACATAATATAGTCCTACAAATCTAATGCTAGTCTTCCTGTATATTATCTGAGTGAATATTTCAATGATTGTCTGCTTTTATCTGTGTAATTTCAAGTTGTTCCTTCGGTCAAATAAATGATATGATACACTTACCTAATGATATACAGTAAGCAGTCCTTCGCATCTTTGATCCAACAGGGAAGAATTGGATCGAATGTGAATTACGATACAATATTGTTAAATGTCAGCTTGTCATAGCATTTATCCTATCAACTCTAACTACTCTACCGACCTAAATTCCTTCAGCTTGCTTATGAAAAGAATTCTCAGGATATATTTGTGACATTACATCACTACCATCACCGCAACTAGGGTCAAACTCATGAGGTCACAGAGATGAGTGACCTGTCTTGTGAAGAGAACGGTCCCCATCACTTATTAAGATATTGAAGAAATGTTTGTTGGAAGTTTGCTGGAATGTAATTGGTTGAGAGAAAGCAATGTGGGCCGGACAAAGATGCTGAGTACACACATCATCGCCATGATAACAGAGGTAACTTCATACCCTTGACACAGCTGGCCTCCTCTGTACCAGACTTTTTTTCCCTTATGAATAGCTATAAGATATCACTATTACAAAATTACTTTTCTTAAATTTGATATCGCATATATCCCTTTCTAAATTTTGTCTTGTCTTTAACAATGAGGGGGTATTATAGAGTGTAATGATAACTGACGCTGTCCCACACACACATAGGCAATAAGTTACTGCCAATCAAATTCAAATTTCCAAAGAAGCCCACTGGCCCTGTTCATGTTCTAATCTTGTTTGGGGCAAATATTTTGCATTCTCAAAGATTCTGCTATAACATTGAAAAACTATGTATTTATATTGCATTACTACAAGAGGGTTTACTGTATTTTGTATTTCCTAGTTGGCCATTATTTAAAGCATGACCTCTTTTACAATTACCAAAATATATACCGGAGTAGACCTGATCTAGGTCCCAGTTTCTACTTTGAGTCTGTGAAAGGGTGTCATCATTGACAGTTGTTGGTCGCAAGTTTCAAGTTCGAGCTTAAGATCAGCCTGTGACATTTACAAAAAAAAAATGCCTGGACAATATAATGGTTCAGTGAAGAATTTTGTTGTCTGCAATTTGGATTGGTGACAGTATACTGCCTCTATGGTGTTCTTTCTGGTTTATTATTTAGAGTTGACATATCACAAATCTAGTTTTCTTATTAACATCACAATAAAAAAAAAAGTGTGAAGTGAAATCTACTGCTGCTGTATGAGTGATAAAATATTGTAATGGTGAATTTTGTACAGAATGCAAATCCTGACAAGTGTGTTGAAAATTTGAATACAGTAACATATCCCAATTGCTATCCTCCAAATTACAAACTCTCGATTTGCAGCGATAATGACATTATGAACCAGTCAAGTACCCTCACTACTGAGATGCTATGAAATCTCTGAATTACGATTTCCTCTATTATGATCTCCATTCAGACGGAAGGGTACGTAAATTGGAGATGTTACTGTACCAATATTTTGGGTTCAGCAAAAAAACATGACCTGCAAATTTCAGATTTTATTTCTGGATACCGAAACTTACTCTTTATCGAATGAAGAAATTTCAAGTGAATTTTAATTCAAGGATTACATGTTTTATTACATTGTTTTACACCCTGTTTTATTTTGTTGAACTTTAGTATAAGGACAGACATACTAATCTCCTCAATAAGACAAACTACCAACAGATACTTTTGATGCAGAAAATATGAATTTTGCAAAAATATAGAAATACTGTCCTAACTTCAAAAAACAGTTAAAAACAAACTCAAGTTTGAAGCTGTGTCCATACATCAACGGAGGGAGCAGCTTAGCTCAGTCGGCTCATCTGGTGGTAGCCATTGTGTGTACGTTAACCGTGGAGATCTCTAGGTCTCCGGTTCAATTCCCATCGCTGCCTCTCCTTGTGTTTCAGCTGAAGGGCTGAAATACAAGTTAAAATAGCGCACCGTCTTTCGGATGAGACTTTTAAGCCGTTGGTCCCGTGTCCATTAATGGCCCATGTTCACATTAAAGAACTCAGTACACTCTTCGGAAAAGAGTAGGGGATTGTCTCCCGGTGTACTTCCCAATCACCACCAGAAGGACCCCACTGGAAATAAGTCTTCTTCTAGATTTTTGTGGGTTATCCTTGGTGTTTACACCAAATAAATCTAATCCAATCCAATCAAATTTTATGTCACAAGTAAAGGTGAAATGCCCATATATGGTTGTAATAAGACGTCATCATGCCCATATATGGGCATATCACACAAATTTGTCACATAAATTTTGTGACAGTGTGAAAAGAGCTTAAGGTTAAAAAAAATTGATGATCCCTACAAGTGTTCAAAGCATAGTGTGATAATACTAAACAAGCATTGTTTAGCATATTTTATTCTTTAAAGAATTATTCAGTTACTTCACAGCAGTAGTTTTGCTCACATATTCAACATCACTAGTGTATTTCTGTATTACCTTTAAGGTATGTATAGTACAGATGAACCTATACATGCTTCATTTTATGGCTATGGGCTTTATTAAGTGATGTCATTGGAAAATTTTGTCAATGTGCAAAAATTAACTTCAAGGATTTAAATTAATCCTCAAGGTACAAATTTTCGAAATATTATCCAACACATCTTGACATTATTGTAAATTATCTTATGGTGTGTAAATGATTTTGTTTTCTAAAGTTTCTGTCCTTTTTACAGTATTTTATTCATCTGCAGTATTTTAATGTGTATTGAAAAAGCAAGTTTCACAATATTTATATTATTAAATAAATAAATAATATGCCTGTATATGAGTTTTATGCTAAAATTATATACTGAAAATATATGTAGTGATATACTCTATAGTATTAATAAAAATCTATATTTTTGTGGGCTTAAATATCGTACAGTAGTATATTATTCTGTTTAATAAGAACAAAAAAAAGAGGTATTACGATTTGACCTTAAATTGACCTCAAATTCTGAGTTATGACCATGTGCTATTGCGACGATATACATCAGTAACAAGAAAGAAAAATTTGATGTTTATGCGTTGATGTTATAGTTTGAACTTTGGCAAAAAGTGCCAACTGACACCACAGGACTGAGCTAGTGGTGGATTTGGGAGGGTGTCATCTTATCTGCTGGGGATGTGGGAGTGTAAGGCCCTAGCAAGATTCTGGGACGAAACCCTTGAAACCTCTGTGCTTAGAGCAAAATAATTTAATTGGATAATGCATTGCAAATACAGCATGCATGCATAATGTTGAATATAAATGTAGGTCTTACTGAAGCATTTAATAAGGTTCTCTTTTAATCTTTATTAGTTGGTAATAAAACTTCAACCCTTTTGTATTAAAGTCTGCAAATCATCAGTGAAAACTTACTCTGATAAATACGATTAAAAGTAAAATTAAACTTATTTGATAACTTGTAAATGAGAGCTTTTTTCTATATTTCATAAAAAATGCTATACAAAGATTATGAATTCAAATTTGAAAATAATGAAACTGATAATCTGTTCTTAGACAAACCTTATTTTGTTAGCTCTTTAATTACAATAAGAGAAATTACTAAACAAGAGAGGGCAGAATAAGTCATTTACCTGGTGCGTTCAGCATATCTAAAGACGTTTTCATGGCTTTAGCAAAACTGTCAGCATCCTCAGGACTTTGGAAATTGAGGCCATATACCTGCCGACTGTCTCGCCATTGATGGAAGATAGGTGTGGCTTGGTTGTACTTCAGGCCTTTAACGATTGCACAGTTAATAACAACCTGTAGAATTATGCAGAAAATTAATAAAATGAAAGATTTTATAAAAAGCAACAACTATAACAATTACTGTACAACACATTGACAAGGTCCCTATGACTTCATGGATAAACACAATACAAATGTGGAAAAAATAAAATAAATGTGCTTTAAATGTTCCAGATGTCTCGCACTCTAGGTCTCTAATGCGCTTTCAAAAAATGTCCAATGGAAGTTGAATAAAGAAAGGAACAAATGGGAGACAAAGAAAAAAGAAACAACAGATACTATCAACAAGAAAAAAAAATTGATGGATGAGAAAAAAATTAGTTTAAAAAAAATTAATAGATGGACATTCTCATGTAATGATGGGAAGGGAGTTCTAGAGTTTTGGAGCAGTGAACTTAACAGAAGAGGTATAGTTTTTACCTGTTTATTTTCTATTATATTATTTTATTATTTTTTTTATTTATTACATTTATTCAGGAACAATGCTTGTAATGCTAATTCAATTTAAATGTTGTTTACAAATGAAAATAAAATCATTACTGAATACTGAATGTTCACAGCTTGAAATGCATCCTGAGTTGGTATAAATATGCTTTATTTTTTTTTTTAGACCATTTACTGTACATTCTCAAGAACACGATTATTGAAGGTTTTTTTGTAGTCACCTTCCTCAACCACCTCCTTCCATTTAAACAAATTGTGCTTAATAAAACATTTATTTACTTAATAATTACCAATGAACAAGGATGTACATCACCTAAAATAAACTTTATCAACTTTGAACACGGAAATTCACAAAATTATTATTATGCTGTTGACATACTTCTGTAAAAATTTCCTTCTGCTTCTGTAGTTTCCTCCTATTTGGGAAATTATTAAATACTTAGAACATAAAAACTTGGCGCAAAGACTTTAAAAGAATCAGGCTGCAAATACATTAAAATCAATACATAAGGCTGGACACTCACTGTGCCTGACGCGACGTCTATGGAGAAGTGGTTGGCGCATCGGTTGTGGTTTGGACTCCCAACCTCGAGGTTGGTGGTTCAAAACTCTCGCTGTGCAAGTCGCTTGTGTCCTTGGGCAAGGCAAGGCACTTTATCTACGGTTGTCTCTCTCCACCCAGGAGTACAAGTGGGTACCTGGTAGGTTCAAACACAGCCTGCGCTGAATACAGCTGGAACATTATGGAATTCCCCTATGGGGCTTGAGTGTGTGTTCCATTGATCTGGGGGTAATAATGTTCAAGCGCTTCGAGGTTGCGTCAACGGGAGGCGCTATATAAATCCAGAATTATTATTATTATACTATGGAGAACGCAATGCCACGACATGCGCACAATGGATTGTTATTAATGAAATCCATTCAAACTGCCACAGACAAAGGGTTGGATTTGTCGTATGACTGCAGTACCACACAGTGAATGCCCGGCTTATGAGAATATTAAAAAAAAAAAAAAGTCGGCTTATGAGAATATTAAAAAAAAAAGTCCTCCTTCATACATTTACATTTAACAGTCAGGCATTACTAATCATATGATAGAAATAAACTGATGTCAATAATCTTGAAGCTAAGCATATATTTTTTTCAACGCTTCCTACCCTTCAAGTTGAACAAATATACTTACTGAAGAATCAGAGATGAGCCTGCCAACCACTCGGAAAGAATGGTTCATCTGGTGGTGATAGATGAGGACCCTAGCCATCCCTTGCACCCCTCCAGACGGCTGCCATTTCTTATTTGCGTCATCGTACACCATCACTGATGCATGGCACTGACATATTGATTTCTCTGCACTGAAAGAATAAATTTATAAAAAAATTAAACGGCTAATCAATTCACATTAAAATATCATCCAGTGTTTTACCTTTAGTACTGTCAACCTTGCATTATTAGTTGACTGCGCGCAAGTCAAAAAAAATTTCAACTTTGTTTTGACGGCACTTCAAACTGGGAACTAACCTTAAATCTATCATCATAAAGTAACATGGAACTGGTGCTTTAGTAGTTAAGTGGAATTGATTAGCTTGGTGCCTTTCAAGCACAGGGACCTGGGTTCAATTCCTGTCAATGTTCTAGGGATTTTTGTTTTAAGACCACACAACTACGGTACATCCTCTAATAGCCGATTCACACGTACAAAAATCTACCAAATTGTAACAAATTCTTACATTTGCCCAAGCGTGTGAATGCACATCCTTGTAAAACAAATGTAACATCCGTGTAATAGTTCGGTAATCTTTACCGACATCAGTGAGGTCTGTAAAGATTACCGAGATGTTACATGATGATGACTGCGCATGCCCAGGAATTTTAATCGAATCGACATGGCCTAGCCAGCTGTGTAGCGCGAATTATTTCAAAACAAACCAAGCCTAATTTCTAGCCGGCCTAGGATAATTGCTTATTATATGTACTGTAACGTTCAGAATGGATGGAGGAATTCTTATTATCCATGGTTATTGATGAAAAGAGGAGAAGAAAATCAAACAACAAACATCGTGATTCTAGTGTCGTTAGGATAATCAAACGACGTCAAATTTCGCCGACAACTTTTTACTATGCTGATGAATTTGATTTCTTTGAACATTTGCCTCAACGGCAAGTAAAGTAGCCAGCCTAGGCCTAGCTTGTTCGATTCTCGGCCAATCTTAATATAATAAATATATACTGCCTAAAACCCTCCTTTTTTAGACTCCCGTAAACTTAGGATATACTGTATATAACGCCTATTTGAATGTGTCTCTCCTGACCTAGGCTAGGCTAGACTGCGTGTGTGCTACTTATGGACTCGTTGCTCACAAGAGGAGTCAACCAAGCATTTCTAATGACTTCTTTACAAGGATTTTACATGGATGGAAATTGTACGTGTGAATACGACCAATCTCAGTAGGAATATCTCGGGAGATATCCCGGTAACAATTTGGTACATTTTGTTACATTTCATTCTAAGTGTGAATCGGGTATAAGCCTCATGTTGAGATTTAGTTTGTGTAAAGCATGTTTACTGAAAGGATTAACCTACAAGTAGGACAGTGATATATTTGCTATTGGCAATCCTTGGCACATGTGTACCTAAAGAAATAATAATTATAATAATAATTGGATGAAAATATTTTCATTATTGACTTAATATTTTTAGTAAATTTCTATGTAAAAGAGTAAAAAAAAAATGGTAAAAAATAAAATTTGTAAATGTTGTAAATGGAGAAATGAATGAATGATTTATGTAAGATGTGTCACTCATGAAACACTCATATTCATGCCCTGTGTCACTTGAAGTTGATTTATTTGGTGCCATGAATACATTATACATCCTATTTTAATACATCCCAGAACATAGAAATGCTGATGTTTTATACGTGTAGGCATACAGTACTCTAAATCATGTGGGGAAAAATATTCACAAAAGTCCCCATAATCACGGCAAAATCAGATATTGATATTGTTAACCGTACCATTCAGAATGCATAAAGCTTAAGAACTGGAAGAAGATAAATATAACGATACTGTGTGGTTAAATTTCCAAAGACAAAAGTTTATTATGTAAACATTGCCAAGAAAGAAGAACCTGGCTGTTTATCCCGAGCAAAAAACAAAACATTGGAAACTTTCTGAGTGTATGCTAAATACTGCATGCATCCCGGAAATTTTCTCAGAATGTATAAGCGATTAGACTGACAATACATGTGCACAATTTTACTATCTTGGATTGGATTTAATTTATTCGGTGTAAACACCGACGATAGCTCACAAAAGTCTAGAAGACTTACTTCCATTGGGGTAGTTCTGGTGGTGATTGGACAGTACACCGGAAGACAATCCCCTACTCTTTTCCGAAGAGTGTACTGCGTTCTTTAACGTGCACATGGGCCATGAATGCACACGGTGCGCTATTGTAACTTGTATTTCAGCCCTCCAGCAGCAACACAAGGAGCGGCAGCGATGGGAATTGAACCAGGGACCTAGAGTTCACCACGGTTATTACAGATCTTAAAATCTAATGTATTTCTACCAAGTGCGAACAGTGGTATGATTTGACCACGGTAGATTTACCATTCTTCTTGGTAAAAATCAATCCAATGTGAACAAGTCTTTGCACATGAAAATGTTTAAAACATCTAATCAAGCCAGTGGCAAAGGGTTCAGAACAACTACCTCGGGAACTTACAAAGTTATAATGTGCTCTATTGAAACGGCGTAGATTTAGGGCTGGGCCAGTTAAAAACAGTTAGGCCTAAAATACAAAATAAATTTATACGGCATGCTGACATAATACAGTACAGTAGAACCTCGATTTTATGTACAGTATGGTATGGGACCGGAGGGCGTACGAAAATCGGCGATTCGTAAAATCAAGGTTGGGTTAAATTTGTGGTGACCTTTGACCTAATATATGCGTAACACTCAATAAACTTATATTATGACTGAACGATGTTACTTAGACCTACAACTAGGCCTATAACGTACAACTGACATAGGCCTAAAGCCACAAGAGAGCTAATTTCCAGCCAGCTATGAATAAAATCTTTTAAGGGAAGGGCCTTAGACCACCCTATTCCATACTTATTCCTCCTGCAAGAATTTAAAAAAAAATGAATCCAACAGCCTGTGTACCCTTCCCACCTCTCTATTCCACCTCTCTATTCCACAACATAGATCTGCCTCTGCTGGTAACATTTTACTCTAAATTTTAATAACTTTAAATAATACTTCATTGATTGGCTGTTATACTACATTGGCCTGCAACTGCAAGCCTTGACCTAAATTGTGTGGACGATTCCTTTCCTCAAGACTGAATAACAAATGGAAAAAAATAAAACAAAAACAAAAAAAACAGCACTGTATCATAAAAAAACCAATACCAGATGCTTTTTCCAAGGTACCATGAAAAGCAACCTTTGTTATGCTAATAGAAAGTGTCATGAATACAAAGACCTTTATGACAAAGAAAAATTATTCATCAATTTTGCATTGCTTATTCTCATTTACAAAACTAATCTTAAAAATGTTTTCAAAATTAAATAACATATATTATTTAGGCATAGGTAATATTTCTCTCTCCTTCAGCAAATGTCCTTGAATGTTTAAAAATATCACAAAACAATAGAAACATTTAACATTTAAGTAACAGCGATTAAACAGAGAGATGAAATTGTAAGAAATATGAGCGAGGAAATTCGCTAACATATTGACAATAATTAAAATAGCAAAGTGGTGATACACTAATTAGATTTATGATACAGGACTTACCTAAATACCAGAGTGATGATAAACAAATTACCAGAGTGATGAAAAACTAAATAATAGAATGACTAATTAATAACTAAACAAAATGATGCTGATTAATAATACAGAGATTGATAATTACAGTATCTTTCTTAAACTGCAATGCTATAATTACCAAAGTAGTGATGATAACTAAATACATGAATTTAAAAGCATTAATAATACAATACAAATATTATTTTAATCTGTGGTGTTCTTCAAAACCTTTCTTGGGTAAAGGTTGGCAGGGCATATGTCAGTTATGAAAAACATATTTATCTATTTACTTTGAGTACATACGCCTTTGGAACGGCGGCACACACAAGAGTGGTGCATTCAGCTTAAATTACAAAAATATATAAATATTAACTAAAAAATGAAGCACACTTCTACACAATCATAGATAAAAATATGCAGATACACACAAAATAAACTGTACATACAAAATTAAGACTACAAATAAAATAACAAAATTATACCATTGAAAATTAAAGGTACAGAGTACTTTTTATACAGGCATACTCCTAAAAAAACATACAGTACAATATATTGTATGTATATTTTGTAAGGGGTCGCTTGTAAATATCAGCATTTTCACAAGTGCACAAACATAGTGAGGTAGTTCTTTGTTTAATTAAATCATTGTTTTTCTATAGATAGACAGGTACTGCTGCTACTATACCTACTGAATTCTTGACATTCCTATATGCCTATACACTAAGTAGGTCCAAGTTTACCTTATTTATTTAATTGTTATCATTAAAACATTTTAATGTGTATACAGCATTGAAGCAGGAAGGTATGGTCAATCACATTTAAAGTTGCCAAAAATACATTCATTATTAAATGCATCAGATATTCTGATGTTGGACAATACAAATAAAAAAAATTTTACAGTAGATATAAAAACTAATTCATTCAATGGTTTTGTTGTTTGTTTTCTAACTAAACTTTTTAGAATTTAGTTTCAATTCATCTTTTTGGCTACTGTAAAATAGTCAGAAACACTGATAAATGCAAAATGAGGAAATTAATACTACAGTACTAGGAAGCCATCCACACAAAGCTTCATAGAATCATAAGAAAAAAAAACCTTAAATTGTAAACAATCAATAAGTCTAAAGCCAGGAAATTGAAAACATTTGCAGAATTTAATTTTTCTTAGAAAACTAAGCAGAACAGCACTGATTCTTGTACACCATTAAGAAAATATTGTATAGTAAAAAAATCAAACAATGTTCTTATATGATCATGCTTTTACAAAGCTTTTATTGTGTTTTTAAAAAAATTATATTAAGAAAATATTTATCAATAGAATATAAAATTTACATAATTCTAATTTAACCTTGACTTAATTTTGATCTGCTCCTAATATACACTAACACACCTAATTTGTTTATGATAATGACGTTGATTATATGAATCCATAATTTAGAGAAAAATTGATTAAAATATTATGAGAAATCTTTTAATACTTTACCTGCATATTATGTTCAGCAGGATATATCGCTTGTCATTAAAAGCCTAACATTGTGTACTTTACAGATCAGAAGATGTATTACAAATATAAAACTCAGCCAAGCATAATAACCAAAATATCTTCTAAGCATGGGTGAAACTTCTGTTGGCGATATTGACAGTATGCCTTACCTTGAATCATAGTTAGCTTGTGTTTCTGTCTCACCCTCAATTGTTGCCGGTGTATTTTCCATTTCAAAATCCATTGGAGCTTGTATTTCATCATCTAATTCACTCATATTGCTACTTGGTATACCTTGTGTGTAGTCTATCGTTGGCTGGTAGTAGTTTAATTGACACGGATCAGTCGCTAACTGCACAGTATTACCACCTACTTCAGAATTTCTTGAATCATCTGCTTCCTGTTGTAACCAAACATTGATCATTTGTCCAGATGATGCTCTATTTGCCAATACTTCTCCTGTACGATCCAAATTATTTGTCCACACCTCACCTATCATTTCCTGTTGCATGACATTGGTTTCCCTGGCAACCTCCCCAATATAATTTTGTCCAATATACTCTTGGTAATTACGGGTATCTGGCTGTGCATAACTTAAATCTTGCATGGTATCTTTCTCTATGAATACATTCTCATCATCTTGCATTGTGTAGAAATTACTTGGGTTATTCATAGGTACAATGGCTTGGTGCTGTGGGTAGAACTGCGGACTTTCTGTATGTAGTTGTGACTGATGATGTACAGTCTCATTGTTATCGAATGGGTCATCCTGATTGGTGAACCTACCACCGTCAACATGTTGCCAAGCGTCTTCAACATCATCCACGTCCGCTTCATTGCGTGGCGTTGCATAATCTACAGCATTCTGGCCAAACTCTTCTGAACTAAATTCAGTCTGAACTAGATGGTTGCCTCTTCTGCAGCCCTCACCATCATCAACCTCCGTCATTGTCTCATTCCCGTCTGTGTCTGCTGAAGAATACATACTTGGTGCATCTTGGCCTTCTGTAGGCTGTAGCCTGATTTGTAGATAGGACATTTTTTTGATGCAGGCACCAAGATACGCTGCTAATGAACTGACTTCTTTAACAGCAGTGCAAAACCCACGTTGATATGCTTTTCAGCAGTTCAATCTTCAGTGGTGCCATTCCTTCCTGCCATATTTAGTTCTTAGGTCATCAGTGTCGGTAACTCATCATTCATTTTTTGGAACTAACACTGTGCCGTAAGATAAATGCTACCTCCTGCTGCTCAATCAGCTGCTGTACTACCTCTATGTCAAGTTCAGCTGTTGGAATTGAATCCTTCGTATATTGAAGAAATTGATGACATCAAAGTAAGAGGAATACAAAGGGAGATAACAAACTCAGGAGGTTTAACATTGATACTATATAAGTTTATTAGAGCATAATTCAAATTTCATTTAAACAATAAAAAACAAGATGTGCTCTAGTCAAACTACTATTACCCGAAGCCTTGTAGTGCCAACAGCTGAAGTTCTTTAAATTTGAATGGTAACAGAATTATTTTCCAACCAATTTCTTTTTTTAAGTGTCAAAAATTAGATTATCCATAAATACAGAGGTAAAGATGGTACTTTACCGAATGAATGAACTTGGTAAATTATATTCCAATGACTTCATAAATAGCTACTTATGGTTAAATACCAGAATTGAATATAATACCCTTGATTCTTTGAAAAAAAAAATTAAAATTATGGGAGCGATTCATTAGGTTTCTATGAAAATAAAGATTATGAATATAGTAAAATTACACCAACAAAACAACCAATAAGGATTTCCTCGATCTGCAATACAATATTTATGTTTTCGAGTTATTAGTGATAACACAGACTGGACTTATTGACAAAATGAAATAAATTATTACCTGTAAGCAACAATGCTGGCTTCATAGCTATTTTTTAAGGTGCGGTATTATAATATACCTAATAATCTTTTCAATTTTAGCAATGAATCAATTAATAAACCATTCATAATTTATACCAATCTTATTGAGGATGCAGTTGGGTGTATAATTATGCTACAGAATGTAAGCATTTTAATGTTGGTTAAAAAAAGAGTGAGCACTGGCTTGTTAATAATTGTTTTTACAGTAACGTTATATTTTATGTATTTTACCAAGTAAAACTATGAAAGAAAAAAGGTGAAGGTGTTCAACTTAAATAAGAATATTACTAAAGTATAGGTGTAATTTTGCCCTACCTGACGTGGAAATGTACAAAATACATTTGAAAACAACTGCGAAAAAAATAAAATCGCAATATTACTAAGAGTCTCTATGCTATTTTATCTTATTCCTAACCTCGGATTCCCCAAAGGGTCCCATCATGTTAGGTATTACCAATTTGATTGCCATAGTAATGACTGGAGGAAGGGAGGTGGTCTAGAATCTGGGCTCATAGCTGACTATAATATTAGTATGTGATACAACACAAAAGATTACAGTAGCTCAGCAAGGCGTACAAAAGTGCAAGATACGAATATGCTCAATTAATGGAGTACATAGCAGACTTTGGAGCTGCACTGGTGACAGAGTTATGCCTAATGTGTTATTAAATCAAATGGAGATGTAAGGCAGGTGAGTCATACATTACACAGTAACATATAATTGATGTATTCACAATTCAATATGCCTTCAGTATGAAATTATATTGTATTCAATCTCTGTAATAAAATCCCTATGTAGACAATGGTCAATATAATTTCAGAAAATTTTACCAAAGTTTTACAAACAGTTATATGCAGATACCCCAATTTGAGACTCCTATATGAAAAATATGTAAGTGTATTACCTCAAAATCATTCTAACTTTAATTAATTCTTAACCAAAAGTCTTGTGATGTGCAGGATTTAAATTTTGGTACCAATTCAGAAATTGGTATAACCCACTTGTTCTATGTAATAATATCAATATTGCTATAGTACAGAGAACTAAACAATGTACTTAAATATCAAATTAACAAAACAATAACAATTCTCTTTTTCTTTTGGGGGGATTAACTGGATTCATTATTTCAAACTCTTAAGGGTAACTCGGACAGCTTTGTACGATGCAAATGAATGTGATTTGCTGGGTCTGTGTGAGTTACTTGCTGACGCAATAGGTCTGTGTCAGGGATAGTTGTGTCACAGAAAATGAAACATGTTCAATACTCTCACGAAGACCTAAGGTCTCCTCCCGATGATAAATCGCATCCGCCTAAGTTGTATGACACTGTTAGAGTTGGCATTTATATCAGTCAACACAACATCTTCAATTTATAGCAGACTTTACTGGAACCGTGCCTTTAAATTTATAAGATTTACCTGCCTGGGAAAGTTAACATTTTAAAAAAATCTGAAGCGACAGTGCAGCCTGTTAAAGCTGTGACCTAATCATTTGGGTCGCAACCTATAGTTTGTAGAATAGTGAACTAATTTATAAATTTGTAAATACATAGTACAGTATTCCTACAATACGGAAAATTTTACTTCAAAATCTTACAACAAAAATCACTCATGTAAACATACAACAATATCACTGGTTTCTTACATACAGTAATCATCTAAAAAGTAAAATACTTTATTTAAAATCCTCTAATCCACAAAAACAATATCTTATTTCCTTCATTTAAGTATCATTCTTCACCTACTCACTCGTCTTGGCATGGACATGGTTCCGTTATCAACGTGCATCCCACACTTGACAGTATATTCAAGGACACGTTCACATCAATGGCCGTTTGCATCACGAAAGGTGACTAATACAATCAGATATTCAAGAATAGTGCAGCAATTATTGAAAACTTATTCTTCTTTAACAAGAAGAATGCACATGTATATGTCTTGACCAATTACTATAGGCTGTATCTCTGAACAGAGTTAATGTCTATAGTGTAAAGTGCCTTGTGTTGTTCATTGCAACTGCTTCTTGGCAGCGCTCTGAGTAATCTCTCAGGCTTGAATGATTTATTATAATTATCTTTTTACATTCCAGAGCCTTTGTTTCAATGAAATGATTCATATCGCTACGTGCACCTGCAATTAGTTTACAAATAATTAGGGTTCATTTTTATTCATCCTATGGCAAAACAACGTAACTGCTTTTATATTTTCGTTAAGTTTGTTTTGCCTTGAACAGCCGATTAGAATGTTACTATTACTTAGAAAACACTTTTTAATTCATTTACGGGAAGGACTGTTATCAATATACAAGAAGAAAAAAAAATGTATATTAACTGATACAATATCAATACTGAATAATATAATAGGTGATAAAATTTAGCTATTGTACATGAATTTTGCTATAATGAATAATTAAAATATTTATAATAGCATTAACATTACATAAAAATATTCTGAATGTCCTTACTGTAACACAGTAACAATACGCATAGGAAATATTTTTTATGTTTATTTCATTTTTCATAGAAATGATTTTACTTCAAAATTAACATAAGATGAAGTGTATTGCATAATTTCTTCACATTCTCCTGAGTGAAAAAGCCATACTTACATAGTTACTATAGGTGGTAAAAAAATACCACAGAATGACAAACTAAAGAGGGCTCACTTCTACCATCAACTGAAAGAGTACGGCATTAAAATGTTGATTGATGAACTTCCTTTGACATCGCCCAATTAGAGAGGTTCTCTCCTTAAATTACACAATAATTATCACTTATATGAATTTAATTATCAAATAGTTAGAACAATATTAAATTAATCCTAAAACAACATTGCCTATGGTGAATACCATATATGGTATAAAATCCTAATCATCATGCATCACAAACATCTACATATTTAGGAATGTGGAAGACAAATTCCTGCTCATAATTCGTCTACCTTATGCTTTATTGTTTCTAACAGATTTTTTTTATATTATTATTTTGAGCTTAAAAATAGAATTAAATGGAACATATGGTACACCCATTATTTGAAGATCATACAATCTATTATAATTTATCCCATAAAATAGAGAAAACTATCCGATCTTAATTCTCAAAAGTCGTGTGGTTTTTGAGTACTACTAGTACTACAGTACGTTTTCCAAACCTAATTTTATGAATACTCAACCCAATTTTTATCCTCTATCAAATAAACAATCCTGTGGTACTAAACATGGAAAATGAGTTATTTGTATATTGAGATAACTGTAGGTAACTACCGTACATAAGCTTTGAATCAGGTACCTAGGTTGAGTACAGTACAATTGGAGGAAGATAATTTTCATTGAAAACATACTTTAAAGGAATTTAATGCACACCTCACTTAAATGGTGTGAAGTACAAGGGTGTGGTGAAGCCCTTCAAGGTAAATGTATTCCATACTATTTTTCAGAAAATCCCATGGCAACACTCAGCTGATGGCCAACCAATTAACTAATCTTAGGAACAGATCTAGGTTCATCAATGCAACTTTAACACCTATATCACCCATATACCACAAATTAACATGTTACTAACCGTGTTCTTCTTAATATCTCAAATTTAAATTTGTTGGAATAGTTTTATGAGGTTTGAAACTACAGTAATATGACAATTTCGGTTGCTAAAGCTACCAGTCATTTCAGTGATTTAGCAACTAAAACTTTTATATGAGTTATAAAACATTGTTAGGTTTCTAACTTTATATTTCTCATAGGAGTGATGTTTTGCCCTACCTGACGTGTTATCGTACCGAATAGTCAGTACATTCCCTAATACATGCGAACAAAATTTGCAAGTGATTCGGGTAGGAATCGAACCTAAGACCTCCAGATAGCTAGCCTGGCGCCATAACCACTAGACTACCGGTGCACGCTTAGTGACTAGTAGCAGCGGGTACTGCAAATGCTTTCATCGATGTGAGTATATTTCTCCTCAGACACTGCCAACTAATTGAGCAGGAAAACTTAAAGCAGGATAATAGGGTGAGTAACACAGGATGTCATACATACTACCACACTCTAGGCAAACATATTTGCTCATTTTAAACAATCACATAAATTGATCAACTTTCAATTAAGTAAAAAAAAAATGATTTATAGACATTTACTACAAAAATCCTTAAATTGATGCCAGAATTTTAAAAAGTACT